TGACAGGACAACTATTATGGGAGGTTTTTTCTCCCCAAATACAAATAATATTTCCAATTTTTGGATTGGGACTATTCTACAATGAAGTACTCCTGGATAATCTAATCTAAATACATATGAAAACGAAGAAGTGGCATTTATCGGGCAGAGAAGCGGCGAGCCATTAAAATGGCGGCAATTTGACGAAGTATCGAAGGACATAATATCGAAGATAAAATACACTGCACTGTTTCTAAAGTGGATGAAACCTTCTTTGAAATCTTCTTCAGCCATTTATGATTATGTAAAAGTACAATAACTGGATGATATTTGCGAGATTCGGCGACAAAAAGCAAACAAGACGGCAAAATATGGCTGAAATCGTGTTTTCGTGGGGGGAAGTGAAATACAATGTATTATATTTAAAGAAAACAATGACAATCCGTATGATATCAACAATATTTATATTAAATTAAGCATAGTTTTTCACCCCATGATAATTTTTTTTAGGAAATAAGAATATTTAATTTCTGCCAGGCATATTAGTTATTTTATGCATAATTAGCAATTTACCTGGGGTGGTGCATGGTCATTTTCTTGTAAAATATTTACTTAGACAAATTTTTTCTTCCAATGACCACCCCTAAAAGTAACCCTTCTAAACACTATAAGCACTTCAGAAAGACTATCACTTTTTGTTTTCTGAAGTTAGAGCTATGTCGACACTGCCGTTTTAGGGCGGGGTCATTTTCAAGACTTCAGTCCCGGATTCAGGTTTTGGCACATATGCCATGTTGACCGCCATGGTCATTTTACCCTAAAACAGTTGAGATTACCTGTGCTAAATGAAACGCATACAAACTCATATACAGGTCCTAGACTATAATGGAAAGCGCGTCAAAGCAGAAATAGTTGTTATAGGGGATTCGATAGTGAAACATATTGACCCTATAGAAAACTTACAAGTAAGAAAGTTCACAAATTTACATATCCAGGGAAAACCGCCGGGGATATTGAAAAGGAACTTAATTCTATTAATATTCAATCAACCCCCTACCACGTAATTGTCCACGTTGGGACAAACAACATTCCAGTGGATTCTACCGAAGTATGCGCGAAGAAACTGGCAAATATTGTTATCAAAACCAGAGCTAAATTTCCTAACTCAAGAGTTGGTTTTTCAGGAATCACGTTAATTAAGACAAGATATTGAAGCAGCAACAAACATCCAGGAAGTCAACAAGAAACTCAAAGAGATATCTAAAAAACATAATGTCGCGTTTATAGACAACTCCTCTATAGATAACACGTGTCTCAATAGGAGTAATCTGCACCTTAATAGTAAAGGCTCAGCATTTCTAGCCACTCATTTCATTAAATTCCTGAGAGGAGAACAACATTCAAGACCACGCAATCGTTCTGGGGAGCATTTTCGTACGTCGACAATCAACCAAGTAGGGGACCTGCTGAAAGCGATACTTGCCGGGACCTCTCGAACAATAATACAACGTTAACTTCAACTGGGTGTGATCCGGGCTCAGGACCTAGTAAAGATTACCATAAATCAGATAAGTCTATATTAAATGAATTAACTCGAAACGTATTAGGACTGCATGCTTAAACATTAATGGTCTTCCATAGCATATTGATGAGCTTCGAGTTATAAGTAAGAGTTATAAACCGAGTAGGAGGTTTATAACTGATATATTGACCCGAGGACGCGTAGCGTCCGAGGGGCAATATATCAGTTATAAACCGACTTACTCGGTTTATAACTAACTTATATCACACTTGGAGGTTTTCCAACATATTTTGTCATTTCCAAAAATTTTTAATGAAAAATTCTCGCGTTTTGTTTACAAGTTTAATCCAATCATTTATTCAAGGTCTATAAGCTAGTTATAAACCTCGGACGAACAAAGAAAACCGACGCAAGTGTGATATAATGCAGAATAGTCCCTTTGATATTTTAGCAATTAATGAAACCAAAATTGATGACTCATTCTCGGAGGATGAAATCACTTAATTCGAAAAGATCGCAATAGATATGGAGGCGGTGTGCTTTTGTATGTCCGTGACACTATACCCTTTACCGAACGAAATGACTTACTAACATGTTCACTAGAAATGATATGCGTAGAAATCAGTAGACCATGTAGTAAGTCATTCTTAGTAAGTACATGGTATAGACCCCATAACCCAGATGGCCAGATATTTGACGGCTTTGAAGTGTTTCTTAGGAAATGTGATTCCGAGAACAAAGAACTTATACTTGTAGGGGATTTAAACTGTGATATCAGCAAATCTCCTCTTGATGCACACACACGTAAGCTACAATTTCTATCGACTCTTTACCAATTTGATCAGCTAATTAATGAGCCCACAAGGGTAACGAAAGCGTCAGCAACCCTGATCGATTTGTTGATCACGAATAAGAAGCAAGATATTGCAAAATCAGGAGTTATCCATCTAGGATTATCAGATCACAGCTTAATTTTTGCTATCAGGAAACACTGTGCTTTTAATTCTCGGCAAAATGTAAGATATGCTCGTAATTTTAGAAAATTTAATACGACTGATTTCCTTTATGATCTCTCACAAATGCCATGGGAAGATGTGGCACTGCATGACGATCCAAACGTTATCGAGTATGGCGGTCATATTACTTGCGGCAAGTACTGGATCAGCATGCACCTTTAAGGCGTATGAGGGTTTGAGGAAATTCTCTCCCTTGGATTAATTCAAATATTAAAGAGCTGGTGCGAATGAGAGACTTTCATAAAAGAGGGCTGCAAAATATAACTCCCACACGCACTGGGCTAAGTATAAAGAAACTCGGAATAAAGTCAATGCAGAAATGGACAAGGCCAAAAAAAAACTTTTTCTGCAAAAAAATCAAAGATTGTGCCCAGGCCAAAGACCCTAAACAAAGCTTGAAATTAATTAATGATTAACTCCTAGGCAAAAATAATAGAGGAAACAATATTTCCGAAATTGACGAGACCTTTATTTCTGACGATATAAAGATTGCAGAGTCCTTTAATGCCTATATCGTGAGTATTGGGGCAAAACTGGCCTCTGAAATTGAGAATAATTCCCTGGACTCGAGTTCGTCAGAAAATGTCATTCCTAGATCAGATATTGAATTTACGTTTTCCGAAATTAACGTACATGAAGTATTTCTTCAGTTACATAAACTTAAAACATCAAAATCGACAGGTATTTATAATATCCCAGCAAGGGCACTTAAAATTTCAGCCGAAATAATTAGTCCATCATTAACGTGGATATTTAACCTCTCGATTAGAACTGGAATTTATGTAGACGAATGGAAAAAGGCATGGGTATTACCGATTTTTAAAACTGAAAACAGACAGAAATGTGAAAATTACCGCCCAATTTCAATTTTACCAATTATTAGTAAAATCTTTGAGCGTTCTGTTTTCAACCAATTGTACGAATTTTTAAATGAGAACTCCTTGCTTTCTAAGTATCAATCTGGTTTCCGCCCGAAGAACTCGACCTTAACTGCACTTATAGTTCAAATGTGTGATGCATGGATGGTAAGCAAGTATGGATAACGGCGACTTGAACTGTATAGTTTTTCTTGATATTCGTAAAGCCTTTGATTCAATTAACCATAATATTTTGTTACGCAAAATGAAAGATCAATTTGGAGTTTCAAATATTGAATTAAAGTGGTTTGAATCCTGTATTTCCGACAGGGAACAAGTGTGTTTTGTCAATGGTATGACGTCAACACCCAAAGAGATAGTCTGTGGAGTTCCTCAGGGATCCATATTACTGCGCATGCCATTATTGTTTTTACTTTACATTAATGATCTCCCAGATAGTCTTGATAACACAACCCTGTGCTTATATTCCGATGATACGCAGATATTTTCATCCGCTAAGGATTCTGTGGAACTTATTTTCAACTTGAATAACGATTTGAATAAAATTAGCCAATGGCTAACAAGTAACAAATTACAGCATCATTCATGCAACCAAAACCAAATTAATGTACGTACGTTGGTTCAAAGCATAATCATCATAAGATAAACGATGATTTTCCTGTAATGTTAAACGGCAAACCGATTCCCAGAGTAGATTCACTGAATCTCTTGTTGGGGCAGGTGTAGGAACGTTAAAACGCATCAAGCCATACATTCCTGCAAACATGTTGCAATCAATTTATAGCGCATTGATACAACCTTATTTCGATTACTGCTCCCCACTTTGGGGTATTTGTAAGAAAGCACTGAAAGATAAGTTACAAAAGTTTAAAAATCGGGCGGCTAGAATAGTTATAGCTGGTGCTAGCTATGAGATCAGGTCTGCTGACGTTCTTCGGGCTCTTGAATAGGAAAATTTAGATTCCAGACGATGTATGAGTAAGGCAGCATTATTATATAAAATTCTGAACGATTTTACTGCACCAAATTTGAAACAGTTATTGATGAGGAGGAATTCTCTACAAACTGATTATGACCTCAGAAATTCTCACACTGATCTGGTCCTTCCGAAACCGAGGCGCGAATTTCTAAAAAAAAACTTTAAGTACAGTGGTGCTAAACTTTGGGATAGACTTCTGCGCGAAGCTAAGAGAGCGCAAGCAATTTACTCTTTCAGAGCGCAATCAATTTACTCTTTCAAAAATTTTGTTAAACAATTATATTGTTAGATAGAATCAATTGTAGATCTTAATATACGACCAGGTCGCACCAATATAATTTAATATTCTTATATGGTATGATAATACGAGGCACGTACTTCGAGTGGATATAACAATACTGAATTTAATATGAATGGAATGCTAGCTATATACATGTGACGTCACATAAATACATGACGTCAGGTTATTACACAGTACACTTTGTTCTAAAACGCTTCTTCTCTAGGAAGTAAAATGATTGGCATTTTCAATTCATACTAACTTTCAAGAAGCGACCATAAACTACAATTTCTCATACATAAAACCCATTCAATTGTAAAATTATCGTTTCCTTTATGTTCCTTAAAGCTCGTCTTAAACTATGTTCTTTTGTTGAGAGCTTGACTCATTACTAACTTTCAAATGGTTGCACGAAATTATAATCAAACCTTCGTTTCCTTTTAGGCTTTGACATCAGACACGTCGTAAACTATGTTTCGTTGTTGAGAATTTGGCTCTTCATAGACATGCGAAATTGCAACTTCCCCCACGTCATACAACGGATTTTCACTTTCCGCAGCATGACCTTGGTTTTCGACCTGTCGTTCACAAGTATTATCCGGTGAAGCGTACAAAGCAGGAGGTTCTGGCCCCTCCGTCGGTTCGTAAATAGGATTTCCACCTTCTTTACAAACCCTGGAGTTTCCAACCCACACGTTTTCTTGTGATGATGATGGATTAGCATAACTAAGAAGGAAATAATATATTGTTGAGGAAGCATGCATGTCTTGTACATATAGAGGGTGTATCAGAAAAAAGTAGACAATTTCGAAACGGCACTCAATTTCACAAATCCGTTCATGTCATGAAATTGTTGATAAATATAGATTGTTTGAATGGGCACTTATAATGCAGAATAAACAAAATATTTTCGTAAAGATAAATTTTCCAGAGCAGGGAGGGGGGGGGGACTTTTTAGCAGCATTAAAAATAGCATGTGCGCGAAATTTAAAAGGTTAAAACGCATTTTGAATTCATGGGCGAGAAATGTGTAATGTGGTTTATTAATGGTCCAAATATCAGAACATTTGCTCAATTTTAAGTCCTTCAAATAGCTGCTGAAACTTTCATTTTTTGGCATGCACCAATGCCTTTCACAAATGCTTAATAATTAACAATTATTCGCCGAAGGCGAAGTGATTACCTTGCCTCGTACCCAGGCGCTTTAAATAATTACAATACATGAAGTATTCAGGGGCCGGTTGTATAAAACACTTAAGGAGGCTCCCTACAGTTGCGTGCGGGATGTTCGCGGGACCATTACGTGAACTATCCCACGCAACCGCATGATAAAAAAAAAAACAAAATATTTTTTTTAAAAAAAAGCTATTTCTGAAAGGTTTCTAATGGGAAAAAGCGTTGAATAATACTTCGTTTTGAGTGCCAAATTACTTGCGAGTCTATACAGCAATTCTACATATGATACGAATACCACTAGACCAAAAATAGCTACGAAACAATGTTTTTTAATGTTTTTAAAATATACATTGTCAACTGTAAAACATTTGCAAAATTGCATACAAACGTTTAAAAAGTTGTTTACTTCTCAAGAAAACGTTGACGTTTTTAGTCGTGTTTCTACAAGATTAAAGTGATTATATGTAAACAGAAAAATATTTCAGTTTCATAGCCTAATTGTTCATTTTTAGCAAAAAGTACAAAACCAAACATGAAACAAAAAAACACGTCCACCTGTCAATAGGCTGTTACAGCTCATAGATTGAGTAAACGGCAGGATTCAATTAGCTTCAACCTTGTTTTCATCGATGTAATCCTTCACAATAATCCTTGGCTGTCCGTAGCACTCAAATAAATCGAAAAGTTGACAAAAACAAAACAGTAAAAACAACATTGCGGCTCGATTTTGCTGAATGTCAGTGAATGAAAACTCGTTCGAATTCTGCGCCCGCTTACAATCTTTTACTAGTCAGCGACGCTTTTCAATAGGGGAATTTCTCGAGTTACACGAGGCTATTTTCTAACTTTATTTGCATTTTACTCATTAGTTTCATCGGTGACCTATCTTCAAATTTTGACCACGAATTTATTTTGCGGTAAATTTTATAAATTTCAAATTTTAAAAAAATCTGTAGTGTGGAAATTTCGCAATACATTTTTCGCTTTTAAAAAAATCACACACTACAGAATTTTTTTAAACTTTCACCACAGTTGCAGAGCATCATTCCTTATTGATATATGAAATAAAAAAGATAGGTCACCGACATCGTTTTTGAGATAGCGGCACATTTATGGGTTAAATTGGAAGGCTTTATGCTGTCGTCATGTTGCCATGGGAACATTGACATCGTCGAAATCTAGTTCGAAATATTCCTTAGGTGACCAATATTACCACCAAGTCGAAAAGAATTCGCGTTCTGCACGAATAAGCCTGTTTTACGGAATTATTGCTTAAACAAGAATAACTGTAGGGAGCCACCTTAATCACTTTTTAATCACTATTTTGTAGTTAAATAGTGATTAACTCTCAAATACGCGCTTCTTATTGGATGACGTTTCCACTAACTATAGTTAACTTTAATCACTTTTTTATACAACCGGCCCCAGGTAGGTAGGCGACGCGCGAAGGGGCTGTTGGGAAGGGTGCGTGCTGGGGAGCGCCTGACAGTTCTTGTATACTGTCATGGCGGGAAAACATGGAATTTAATACAAAACGTTACCATATCGTCATATACTCTGTGTGCATGTAAAACCTTATTTTTTGACGAAGAGTCGAATTGAACGCCATTGGCAAATAATAATAAATTTGTAGATGTTTGATTACATGCAAAATGCGCTAAAAATTACGAGTAAATTACATGGCAAGTTTACCGTGCGAATATTTCGAATAGTTGTCATTCGGTATTACATGGAGAATAATAGAATGCTATCAGTTGCTTAGTATAAAATAGTAACAGAGAGAGGATTAGAAAGTCCTATAATTGCTTTTGTATTAATAACTTCTTTAGCTGAAGGCTCGATCAGACGATCACAATGCCAATGGCAATTTCTATTAAATGTATACTGTAAACAAAAGCCCAAGTAAATAAAAATTCACAGCCGTAAAGTTTGAAATATTTATTACAACAGTGCAATTTTATAGTTTGTACCTTTATATAGTTATAGCTTAAATTTCTAGTTCCTGCAAGTCTAGTTCTTCAACGCTTCGGTTGTTGACATGTTAATATTGGAATTCCCAAGCACTTTAAATAAGGCATATGTCATATATACCAAGAATAACAGCATGAATTCACGCCCCAGATGACAAATTAACATTAGTCAATTCAACAAAAATAAGTAGAAAAAATCGTAAACGACAACGAAATATCACAACTTGCAAGAAATCGACTTTCTTGCAAGAAATCGACCAAGAACTTCCAGGCGTCTCGCAGTTCAAGTGCACTCTTCCCATCAGCCCCTTCGCCCATCTATCTCCACTACAATACTTCATGTAAACTCGTCCTACGCGCATCACTGTTTTTTTACAAAGAGACGCCTGGGTACGAGGCAGGTGATTACCGGTGAATATTCACCGAGACGAAGTCGAGGTGAATATTCACGGTAATCACTGAGCCTGAGGCGAATAATGCGTTTTAACCTTTTAAATTCGCGCGCAAGCTATTTTTAATGCTGCGCTATCCACCGGATAGTGATTTTTCCGATGTAAAAATGCTTGAAAAGCTATTACAGTACGGATATGGGTTTCACAAGTCCAAAAAGAGATTTCTATTTATACATGCTAAAGTTTAATATAGGTTATATTAATCAAGGGAAAATTTCAATTGAGAAAGCTTCAAACAATCACTACCCGCGGTGGATAGCGCTATCCGGCCTTCGTACAACCGGCTCCTGATGTTTCGGCGATCATATACTAACATTTTTTCACGAAATCAAAGCTTTGCGAAAGAAAAGGATATGAAAGCCTATGCGCTTCGAGCTAGAAGTTTCTGAAAGGAGAACAGCTGTACGTTGTTTATAGCATTGGAGACGCCGCCAATAAAGCATGGGATGGATAGAAAGATACTTACCATACAGAATCCTCGACACACGCACTAGTTTCTTTCCTTCAACAGAAAACAATGGAAGAGGTAAATTAAAGAGTGCCAGGCTAAACACGCAGCGGCGTATTAAACCAAACACCTGAGATAGGGTTAACATGATTATCGGTATGATGACGACAAAATAATGTTGATAGGTTAGATAGCAAATTACATTTGCTTCACAAAAAAATATTATACTCATTAACTGCCACTGTTAATTCTTTCCTGCTGGCCTATCTTTCCGTGATTATTAATAATTCTGTGTGCTAAACTGGAATATATATATATATATATATATATATATATATATATATATATATATATATATATATATATATATATATATATATATATATATATATATATACATTAAGTGACGATACTTCATCCCGTTTAACTATAACAATTGGGACGTTCTGCTTACCTCCAGCTGTAGGAAGGATTTAAATCATGTAACGAATTTGGTGTGTCACCGTTCTTCTTTCTCCTGAAATATGCAGATGTTGTTTGCACATTAAAACAAAACTGTTTGCACATTACGGAATCCAGCGAAATTCATATAATGCCCTTACGCAATTTCTTGTAGTTTCGGTGATAGCATATAGTTTCAGATTAAAATAATCTTGCCTATATTGCGGACTTAGCTGATGTACAATCAAGATGTGAAGTATGTCGGCTATAATGTAGCCCTATTTTAAATTAACTCAAAACCATGCACAAAACATCGTCTTCTTAGCGCATAATTCTACGAACCAAGAAAAAAAAACCCGTGTTGTGGTGTATATCCATTGTGTACGCTTTTCGCTCCTATAGAGGTAAAAGATTAATGGTTTCTATTTTCAATATTCAGAGCCAGATGAGAAATTAATTAAGGATCCTATTTTAAAGTAACACATTTATTTAGATATACTGTTTCGTACCTTCTAAGAAAAATAAGAATAGCAATCAATATGAGCACGACAGCCACGCCCACAACGACAGCCACAATGATATACGTAGTCTGGTTGCTTTCATTTTGTTTAGCTGATCCCCTATTTGGTCCTCGTGTGCTCACTGTAGAAATTACAGAAGTTGATGTAGTTTGCAGCATCTTGATTTTTTCTACATAAACAAAGGATATTTTTCGATATATTATGAAGTACTTTCATATTTTTTCATGAGTTTTGTTTTCAAAGCTTCACTGGTTTATGTTTCTATAATTATAACATATATGAAGGTGTTCATTACTTTTACCAATTAGCCCATTTAGCTTGAATTGCGAAAGACCCCAATGCATATACTGTACGTATTATCTTATTTGATAAAGAGGGGCCGGTGGTTCCAAGCTCGGAAAAGAAAGCTTTATAAAGATCCACACACAATTTTGGGATAACTAATGTCTTGTTTACAAACAAGCGGAAGTTTGCTTGAAGATCTTTGTATGAGCGAGGGCATGCACTAATATCGCATATGAGCTAAAACACAGTCCAAATTTGAAAAAATAATGATTTTGGTTGTTATTATATACGTCTGTGAAGAACTATAAATTTCTGTAAGACGAACTGCTGAGGTCGTCACTAAAACGTTTTAGAAATTACGTGACATGCATAAAAAATCGTCATCTATATCTACTAGCAACGTACCAGTTGGTTTTGGTTGACTTGCATAGTCAAAAGCGAACATAGATTGATAATTTGATGATTGGCCATATTTTAGTATAATAAAGATACTATTCGAGGATGATACAATGTTCCCTGTAGTATTCAAGCGCGAATAGCGAGCAAGCACAGGCGCATTCTCATTATCACCGTCGTAAATATTGATGACGTCATTATGAAGAAGTTTCAGGGAAGAAAAGTTCAACGTAATCAAGTACGCGTCATTCACGGTAACCAACAAAGAACAATTGGAATGGCGGGGATAGCACCTGGGCGTGTCAAACTTCGATGACTTGATACAACCAGTACTTTCCATCACTTCATGATGACAACCTAAATAGATTTAAAAACTCATTAATAATTCATAAGGAAAAGACAAAGGAAATCATGGTGGTTTTATATGTGATAAAAAATCATGTTCATTTACATAAACGTTAGTTTTGATTTTCTCGTCTTAGAAAAGGTTTATTTTGGAAATTGCTTCGCCAATGAACTCAAAAGATGGGTCGTTATTTAAGCCATATAAAACACTCGTATAGTCCGCGCTTTGTCAGATATAAAACACTCGAGCTGTGCTCTCGTATTTTATATCTGATAAAGCACTTCTGCTCGTGTTTTAAACAGTACTTAATCAGCTAAGTCAATCATTATGCGAGGCTAGTTAAACATACACTGGCCGATCAGGTGTAAAGGTGCCATATGACTTTGACAAACATGGCTTCCGAATACTTGTATCCCTCCCTATAGATGCCGACGGTAGACCATCATAACGTTAAGTTTTCATCTTAGGGCCGCCTGTTCATATCAGCGCGGTTGGCTGGGAAGCTCGCCTGAGAAGGAGTTCTGCGTCCATATTACTGTTTTTATCTCATCTAATATCCCACCTCGGTTGGACAAAATTACGACTTTAATAGTGTCAACATCGCAAAAAATGTCCATTTCGGTCAGGTGAGATGAACCTGCATACGGAAAATTATATCCCACTTGACTGAAATCCCATCTAAGGCCAGGTTATTTATATGCATTATCCAAGACAGGTGAATCTCACACGGATGAGTTTCCCCGAAGAATTGGCCCTCTTCCGTATAACTCAAAATTATATTTTAATTTACTTAGCAAGAGAATTTGCTGTTTTGGTTTTAACAACAAATTTAGGCTGCCCTATAAATTTCGAATTTGGAAAGCGAGTTTTTCATAGTCTTTTAGTTTTGATATTATTGTCCAATTTTATCGTATAGCCTAGTTATATTATGTTTTTGTAAAAATCAACACCCGCGTATGGCGCTGTAATGTTACTCTGAGTGTGTATCCACACCGGGCAGGCTTGAAAAATATGCCTGGATATTATTCTGGCACTGAAAAATTCCTTGTCTCGAGCGGGATTTGAACTCGCATCTTTGGGACTTAAATCCATTTTAAGTGCACCACGCAATATTTTCCTGGCGACTTAATGCTTGTCGTGGAGGACGCGCAGTATTTCATTATTCCAATATGAAACTAAAAATAATATGAAACTAGTTTTTCATATCTTTAAAGTGCGCGTAACACCAAAATTGATTCTCAGCTTATTAAACGTATGCTACCATCATAGTAGCATAGTTTCCCGAAAAAAATTGCGTTTGATTGTAAAGTGACAGTTTTAGAGCCACTTGAATTATAGGTTGTTTGGCCAACGGACGTCGGGCATGGGAGTCTGGGTCGAGATCAATTTGTAACGTCACGCGAGTTATTGAATATATCACTAAATAATATATCATGCATGTAACGTCTATGTTTGGTAACTTGGGCCGGGTTTTAGTTGACCATTACTATCAGCCGTACAAAGTTGCCCTTCAGTTATAGCATTTTATATAGTGTTGTGTGTTCGAATTAGGCCAAACTACCGTTGAAGATAAAGCCTAACGTAGGCGGCAAATATTATATTTTCATAGTTTTTATATTAAAATTTGCCGCCTAAGCTAGGCTTAAGTTTATTTTCACCAGTTGCTTTTGGCCTCATTCGATCACACAACACATTATTATTAACAGAAATACATGGTAAGCCTGGAAAATAATGATTTTCGACAATACAAACGCGCTATTATTATACAGACACCGAGACACGATCAGTATCAGCCAAATTTAAATTCCGTTGCCATTTATTAATACGGTATTTATTTGATTGTTGCGCAGATAAAAAACTCATTTTCACCATTAGCGCAAACTTCCAGGCAAACCACAAACTTCAAGAATCAATATTTTCGAAAACAAACAAGGGCGCTCTTCTTTAGTGCGCTGCTCTTCTTTATTTTGGCGAGAGCAGACGTGTATTTTGTGCCCCGCTAAATCTCAAGTTCGAAATCGAAGCAATCTAAAGCGACAATGAAAATCTATGTGAATAACAGTAATCTATGTCAATAACTGGTGATTCTACATGTAGGGACTATTGACTTGACGTCGTTCAACATAAAGAACCTGAAGAAATTGTAGCCGAAATGAAATCCTTATGTCAAGGTATCGTGTCCCAAAGTTTATCAAAAATAGCTATTTCCGAAATAATTAAAGTGCCACTGTGACCAAATTTTCATTTCTGTTTTTTTCCATGATTGTGAAGAATGCGTATAAAGAAGCTGTCACGCAAAATTTTAGCGTGATATCTTATATTTTGCCTGAGTTATACGACGATGAAGTTCGAATTTTGGCAGCCGCCATTAAAATCCGCCATATTGGAAAGTTCAAGTGTTCGGGAGTCTTTGACGTCATAGTCTCTCATAGGCACATGCTGGGCGTGCAACATAAAAATATATACGCGACTATAGTAAAACTCGATCATGCCTTCGTCGCGTTGTGTTGTACAAGATTGCAGCAATACTTCTGACAAAAACGCGGGTAGATCATTGCATAAGAGCCCAAATGACGAATCTTTGAGAAGAATATCGGTTAGATTTGTGCAAACTAAGCACGCCAATTTTTATCCAAGCTCGCGGGAAATTGGATTCATGATTTGTTTGGACCATTTTTCCGGCAACGAATTGTTTTGAGCGTTTATTTCATTTGGATGGTTTGCAAAGACGAATCAAACCAGATTCTGTGCCTACTATTTGGAGGAAAGCGCCTGCGCAACTAACAACAAGAGACAGGCGTAAGGTTTAGTCAGATATGAATATATTTTAGCTACATACATATTTACATAATCTGATAAGTCCAGACAATTATAAATTCACGCGACAAGTGTTGTTCTCATATTATTGAAAATAGGTTTAAATTTTAAACGAGTTGGGCGAAACTGCAAACAAGACTGATAGGCTACAAACGAGGATGAACCATCGAGCTGTTTTTTCAAACTCCGTGTAAGCTCGCTGATCAGTGTTCGGGAATGTTGATCATATTTTATTGTAACAACAGCACAACAAGGTAATGTGAGATGCCTTGAACTGCCCGTAAAATCTCATACCAAACCACGAGCTGTCTGTAGAAAACTGCGCGTATAAGAACCTATAAAATATATAATATTAAATAAATGGGCGCGCACAATATGTTAATGCTTGTTTAATAACAACATCGGCATAGTAGGCATACTTCAGGTTGACAGCAATGACCACATTCACACCTTATAAAAAATGCAAAATAGAAGTTCAAAATAGTACGTTTTAATTTATTACCCGGCAAATAAGAACACAAACTTACCAAGACGATACATCAACATGCATGGCTTTCAAAACGATTTTGTAACATCTTTTCGAGCTGTTCGTCTTCTGCTACAGCTTCGTCGACCTCGTACTCGGCTACCTCTTCAGGCGAGGCAAGCGGCTCCAGCAATAGTCAGCAATAGTATCATCAAATGGCAAAAATTCATTGTCAAGTTCGTTTGAATTCGCTGTTATATAAACAGATGAGATGCGGGAGTATCTGTTTCAGACAAATACTCCAAAACGCTACTAGATCGCGACGAAACTGACATTTTAGTTCTTGAAATACATGCGATGCTCTACGTTTGCTTACTAATTCTACTTGTGCCCTTGCGGTGTGTTGAGACTATGACGTCAGAAGCCTCTCGTGACAACATAAAATCAAGATGGCGGATTTTAATGGCGGACAGCGATTTTGGACATTTCAAATGCTCGTAACTCCGTGGTTGTTAATCATGTTCGCCTGAAATTTTACACAAGCATTTTTGGTGCAATAATAAAGTCGTTGCTAGCAAAAAAGGGAATTTTCTCGATGACGAATTTTCGTCACAGTTGCACTTTAAGAGACAGGACCCGGTTATCAATGTTAAGATGGTAAATTCAAGCGGCAGTTTATTCTGCACACTAACATAGATGCTTCTAAATTAAATGCTTCTGGATTACATTTAAATAGCCAGGGAACGGCAATGTTAGCAAAGAACTTGATCGAATCCTTCCAGAATTGACTAAATGAACTCCAAACTAGCGATATTGACTATTTTTACAAAATTGTTACCAGAGAAGTACCAGGCGGGAAACGAATTCTGATAATAAATATTAATGCCCAGCAAAGTGCTTTTAAAAGAGCCATAAACCATTAAATTTAAAAACTTTATTAAAGATTAAGTAACGTTTCGTCTTAACTCAAGACATCTTCAGACTATATTAAATTACAAGCTGTAAGAGTAATTAAGCATAAAGTAAAGCTATTATAGCAATATTAAATTACAAGCGAATACGAGGTACACAAAACGTAAGGATAAGAATGGATAATGAAGGGAAGTGACGGACAAAAATGAGAACAACCAAATTAGACAACACAAACAGACAAAACATAAAAAAAAGAGATCAGAATACGTTGAACGTGATGGTAAGCTCCCATTTCTTGACATTGACATATCCCGCTCCAATGGAAAATTTTCTACTTCTGTTGACCGTAAACCTACGTTTACTGGTCTTTTTACTAACTTCCATAGCTTCATTCCACTTACATACAAACGCAGCATAATATCTTGCTTAATACACCGCATCTTTAGCATTTGTTCTAGCTATGAGACTTTCCATCACCAACTTGAAGCAGCACGTAGAATGTTTATCTTAAATGGTTTCCATTCTCATATGTTCGACCGATGTGTTAGAACTTTTCTTAACAAAGTATTTCAACCTAAGCTACCTGTTCATACTGTTCCTAAGAAAATAATTTATTTCTGTCTCCCTTTTACGGGCACTCACTCCTTGCAAATTCGCACGCAAATCAACCGTCTTTGTCGTGCTGCTTTCCCACATCTTGATATAAGATTTGTCTTTCGATCAACTAAACGGCTCTCAACCTTTTTCTCTTTTAAGGACAAAATACCCAAAGCACTGAAGTCGGGTGTAGTGTACTCTTTTACGTGTCGATGCTGTTCCGCATCGTATGTGGGTCAAACCACGCGCCATCTACACACCCGAGTTTCGGAACATCTGGGTATCACTCCTATCACTGGCAAACAATGTAAAAATCCTCCCCAGTCCAGCATTTTCTCACATCTCACATCCACAGGCCACGCTGCTTCTATTGATGACTTCGAAATCCTCTCCTCTTGTTCAGATGAACAAGAACTCCTTATTCATGAAAGCTTTTTTATCTCTAAAATGAAACCCTCTCTCAACGTTCAAGGCAGTTCAATCCCTCTTCACGTATTCTGATCTCTTTTTTTTTATGTTTTGTCTGTTTGTGTTGTCTAATTTTGGTTGTTCTCATTTTTTCCGTCACTTCCCTTCATTATCCATTCTTATCCTTACGTTTTGTGTACCTCGTATTCGCTTGTAATTTAATATTGCTATAATAGCTTTACTTTACTAATTACTCTTACAGCTTGTAATTTAATATAGTCTGAAGATGTCTTGAGTTAAGACGAAACGTTACTTAATCTTTAATAAAATTTTTAAATTTAATGGTTTATGGCTCTTTTAAAAGCACTTTGCTGGGCATTAATATTTTTACAAAATTATAAAATCAATTAACATAGGCGGTAGCACTAACAATAACAATATTGAAACAAGAAAGTCAACCCTACCCTATCAGCACAATTCAAATTTAAATTATATTGACAATCAAGAAGACCGGTTCATGGGCGTATGGGCCTAATCTTGTTTGGGGCATAGTATTAGTTTGCCCGAACGCTTTGCTTACGCAGTACACATGTACAACTTTGTCCGAGATTTTATCAGGGCCTTTTTTAAGGATTTTCCCGTGGGGGGGGGGATTTTTTGAAAAGAGACCTTTCTGTGGGGTAATATATTAGTGGGGGATAGCCATGTAGCTGACATGCCACGCATGAATCCCTAGGGGGGTCTGGTGGAGTTTTTGAAATTTGAAGCTCGGAAATACAATTTCCTGTATTCTGAGCATCCAAATTTGCTCTAAAATTTATGCTAACTATACTTGAATTTGAAATAAAAGAAGGAAAAACGCACAAAAAATAAATAAATTATTAACAATAATTTATCATTACTTAGTTGTAAAAAAACGTAACAATTTAAAAGGATAAAGCCTAAAACTTACTTTCCGTTTATCTATTTGTTATTCTTCGCTGGTTTGTTTGTATAAATTAAGGAAAAAGGACATTTTCTTGGGGGTGTGTGCAAAATGTGATTTCGTGGGGGGGTCACAAGGATAGAGTCATTCAGTGCCAGTGTGTCCAGTGTCTTCTGCGCGCCTCAATGCCACGAGTCCTGATTGTGACATAATATACAAACTTCGCTCTGTTCGCTTTGTTTATCTCTTTAACAAATACCTTTACCTATTTAACAAATAACAAGGTTCAATGAAATTGGAAAACTCAGAATTAGTCATACTACAGACAGAATTTTCATCGGTTTTTAAACTGTTTTATAAAAGTTTCGTTAGAATGAACGAATTAAATCTCGAGGAAAACCCCTGGCCGAAAGAATTGTATACTCGCTGTGATATCAAATGTCAATATTTCGTTAGTTTCGCTCAGGATAGTTTTCTAGCAACTGAATTGTCTGAATTGTCTTTAGGTTTAGAAACAATTATCAATGAAACTAGAATTCAAATAAGTCACAGTTCTGTATAAAAAAAAATCAACTTTTTCAGGCCGACCTTGGGTCATTTTGCTCAAGGCTTTAGCTTCAAGAATTTATATTATTTCTTATTGTATAAGTCGTATAAAAATATGCGAATATTTTGATATAATACAAATAAACAATTCAGCGCAAACAGCTGTAACTCATTTGAACGTCTCAGTTATTTAATCAATTAATGTTATTCCTTTTTTCAGTAACAATTAGAAAGGTTCTGAAAATTAGAATTAATTTATATTTTTCTTTCCGACAAGCTTTAAAAGGTGACAAATTTGCAAGTGATAACTAATATTATTCTTACACGCCAGCAACTTCGAAGAAGAGTCTACTGTGTCTCGGAATTTTCCACACTCAGAAGTAGAAAAGGAACATTTCCACATTATTGCTTACCGTCATTCTCATCTGTCAACATAAAATCTACTGTCTATCGAAATCGTTCAGGTTTACCAAACGTTGCATGACCACAAATTGCGGCTGTAGTAGTAGTGAACACCATATGTAATTGCGAATTAGTACAGAAAAGAACAATATTGTAAACATAAAAACCTCGTGCAATACTGTCTAAGACTACTATTTAATGCAACACAAAGAAAGGGAAATCAGAGAGCAACGAAAAATTTCATCGTCTTTGATATTACAGTAACTATATGCATTGATTGACATGTTTACGCTCAGCGAGTACATTTCTTTCGGCCAGGAGTTTTCCCCGAGATTAATTCGTACATTCTATAAAACGAAACTTTAGGTAACTTAAGGTAAACAAACCAATGAAAATTATGTCTGTAGTATTACTAATTCTGAATTTTCTAATTTCTTTGAGACATTTTATTTACAGGAGGTAAACAAAGCGAACAGAGCGAAGTTCGTATGTCACAATCAGGACTCATGGCATTGAAGCGCGCAGCTGAATTCGAACACACTGGACACACTGGCATTGAATGACCTTAAAGCCAAGCCGTCTGCACTCAAACAATTTTGTCCTTGTCCTTGTCTTTGTCCTCCTTCTTCTTCTTCTTCTTTTTCTTCTTCTTCTTCTTCTTCTTCTTCTTCTTCTTCTTCTTCTTCTTCTTCTTCTTCTTCTTCTTCTTCTTCTTCTTCTTCTTCTTCCTCTCCTCCTTCCTCTCGCCCTTCTCCTCCTCCTTCTCCTTCACCTCCTTCTCCTCCCTCTCCTCCTTCTCCTCCTCCTTCTCCTCCTCCTCCTTCTCCTCCTTCTCCTCCTCGTTCTCGTTCTTGTTGCTTCTCGTTGTTGTTGTTGTTGTTGTTGTTGTTGTTGTTGTTGTTGTTGTTGTTGTTGTTGTTGTTGTTGTTGTTGTTGTTGTTATTATTATTATTATTATTATAACCGACCACGAAGGCAGACAGACGTGCTGCTGCTGGTCGTCAACGTTTAACTAAATTTTATCTGGTACAAGCAATATATTTTACTTTTTGTGTATATTTTACGCTCTTACATGATTACTATGAAACAAATATCGATACTCGGGTTGTTTGCGGTCCTTGTTACAGTATACGTATATGCACTTTCTGTGGTTTGGATCTTAAAAGCCTTGGACATCAATGGCGATGCAAAGCGAAGCTCGGAGATAAAGATAGGGATTCGTCAACTACAGCGAATGAACGGAACTCAGGGATATTAGATAGATTCGGAGCAAGGCAATTTATTCGATGGAGCGAGTGAGGTATTAACTACGCAAGTTTCTAATACGAGCGGTGTTAAATGTGCGTGTGGAAAACTTTGCAAAGGTCTAAGAGAGTTGAAAATGCATCAACGATCATGCCGTTTCATTGCTGGACTTAACGAAGAAATAGCTACAATGGATGACGAGAGAAGCGAGGAATGGGAAATTGATATTTGTTTATTTACGCTACCTGAACATCCGGAACTTAAACCAGGTATAAAAACTGCCAAAATCAGATAGTGAATGGGCAAATTCTGATTTATTTTTCAGGGCGGAACTGGCTATGGACTGCATGAACGACTTTAATATTAACGATGTAATTTATGACATGTCTAACAAAGTGTATAATTACTTCTCTGATAATTTTGGTATTATTCGACGCACAAATGATGTAGGGTTAAAATACAAAGAATTTTCGAAACAACAGCTCAAACAAGAATTGAAAAATTTGAAGTGGAACACTCATGAGAATTTACGGTCGATTAAGTATGTTGCTAAACTATTGCGTGGGAAGCTTGCTGGTAAACAAAATGCAAATGATACCAATAATAGCGTCGACCACAATAACGAGATTAAAAATAATTTGTGGGCGTACACAAAAAGATTTCTAGAAGCTGGTGAAAAACTAAAACCTGTATTCAATAAACTAATTTGTACGGACTACTTTAAAAAATTCTTGAAATGTAGCAACCCGATGCGTCGTTTTAGTATCCCATCTTGCATACCCCGATTTAAAGAACCAGATCAGGCTTTTGGCGATTCGCCGCCAACCTACCGGGAAATTAGCAAGATAATACACAAAATGAAAGCAAGCGGGTCTCCTTGTCCTTTAGACCAAATTCCCATTATTGTTTTTAAGACGTCACCCTAGCTTCGATCATATTTAACTATGATAATAAGTAAGATCTGGACGGCTGAAGAAATTCCCATAATCTGAAAGAAAGCTGCTTCGATCTTAATCCACAAGAGTAACTCAGTAAATGAACCTGAAAATTTTAGACCAATTACTTTAGAATCGGTTCCTCTAAAAGTTTGTACATCAGCTCTACGAAACAAAATGTTCCATTTGCTTTGAACAAATGGCTTTATTGAACAACGTATTCAAAAGGGGTTTGTACCTGGGATTTCTTGCAACTACGAACACACGGCTCACTTAGCGTACCTTATACGTCAAGCCAAAAGGCAGCAGAGATCATTAGTAGTGACATTGCTTGATCTTCGTAATGCATTTGGCGAAGTGCATCATCGCTTAATACTAGTTGTATTAAAATACCACCATATGCCTGAGTCAGTAAGTCAGTTAATCAACAGTTTGTACAGAAACGTCCGTACCACAGTTATTACTGATTCCTATAGTACCGAGTTCATGCATGTCGTGAAAGGCGTCCTACAAGGTGATTGTCTAAGTCCACTGTTATTTAATCTGCTAGTCAACACCTTTGTCCAGTATATAAAATCGGAGAAGTTTACCCAGTTAGGATACTCGTACCCCGAATACTTATGCCCGAAACACTGGTATCAGTTTGCCGATGATGCGGCAGTTATAACGGGACAAACGTATATGAAAATCAGATCTTGTTAGATGCTTTCACTGCGTGGTGTACGTGGTGTGATATGAAAATCAGGGTGGACAAATGTAAGACATTCGGTATAGAAAAAGTAAATTCTGCTGCTAAGCAAACATTTCCGAAACTTTTTGTTAATACTGAGCCAATACCAACAGTTGATAATGGGGGTAATTTAAAGTACTTAGGAAGATACTTCAATTTTGAGATGGATAACAGTGCTCATAAGCAGGAACTTCTGGAAATGGTGGAAAATATTCTCAAGAAAATAGATCTGTTGCCTTTACACCCCAAGTACAAATTGGAACTCTACCAATTTTACTTAATGTCGAAAATTTCCTGGCATTTAACTGTTGCCGATATTGAAAAGACCTGGATGAAAGAAAATTTAGACAACTTGTGTCATAATAAGTTACGTAGATGGCTAGAGATTCCTCCCAATGGTACTCTTGATATTGTTCTCTTGGCGAAAACAAAGTTTGGCTTGAATGTTATTGATGTTTCCACTAAGCATGCTCAGTGTCAGGTATCGTTTAGAAGTCAGTTAAAGAACTCAACCAATGAAGACGCCATACATGTATACAGTAGCACAAGATCGGGTTGTAACAGTCAGTATGATCGTTTTAACAATTGTCGAGAGGTTCTAAAGGAAATTAAAGACGAAAAACTAGATAAAGTGAACAATCTTGTATCACAGAGCATCGTTGTTAAAGCCCTTTAATCAGGAAACGCTTGTATCAGATGTGAAACAATGGCATCGAACCGTCAACAAATTACCCAAGAACATATTCAATTTTTGTATCCGTTACCTAAACAACACCTTACCAACCTTGAAGAGTATGGTTCTTTGGAAGAAAAGCGAAAATGCATTATGTAAGTATGCTACAACACGCAAACCCTTCAACATGTTGTGTCTGCATGCAAAGTTCATCTAGAAGAGGGTCGTTATACATGGAGACATAATTCTGTGTTGAAGATTATAGCTGACTATTTGCTATCAATCACCAACAACATCGAACTATACTGTGATATCACAGGCCCCTCTATCATTACTAGTGAACAAAAACGTCCTGATGTCGTGGTTATAGAAAAACAACGGAGTTGGGTATTTGTTTTGGAATTAACTGTCGGTTTTGAGACCAGAATTAAAGACAATGCTGTACGTAAACACAATCATTATAGTGGTCTATGTTCTGAACTAAGAAATCAGTATAACAGAGTAAAGTTTGTCAACATCTTGCATGGTTGGAGCTTTGGGAATTTTGGGAAAAAGCAGTCGTTCATTGATGCACTTTATATCTAACGACTTGTTATTAGATAATCAAAAAACTAATTATCTAATTTCAAAAATAGGTGCATGTTGTATTAGATCAACTTATTATATATTCTACCGCAAACACAAGGACTGGACGGAACCTAACTTATTAACATCATGGTAGTATTTTTCAATTATTGTAAATATACATCTAAATATCTTTACATTGTAAATTTTTAGCTTTCCCTTTCTTCCAGCTTGTACCATAACTGCAGCCTTCTGCCTGTGTTCCAGAGATTAAGGTTGTATCTTAGTATAGTTACGAAATAAAATTTGATGTTTCCATTATTTATGAAGTCCTCGAATTTCATCATATTCCCGATTACATAAAGAATCTTGTCAGTAGCCTCTACACTGATTTCCAAACTTCCATAATAACTGAACAGTTCAATACTTCCTTCATTACAGTCGGTCGTGGCGTCCTTCAAGGCGATTGTCTCACTCAGTCTCAGCCTCTATTATTCAACATGTCTTTCAATAAACTTGGGCGGTTTTGGTTAAAATTAAAACCGGTAAACCGTACATTAAAAAACCGGTTAAACCCGCGAAAAAAATTTTTTTTAACTTAAAAAATTAACGCGATTCCAATCGCCAGGTGCAACTTTACAAATTCCAAATTATTATTCGCTGGGGCACCGTGTGCCCCGGGCGAGTATAGGTTTCGGCATCAATCTCCAATCTCCGATCGTCGATAGCCACAAAATAGAATATTAATGGCTGCCTAATTTCCCCCCAATTATCCATAAGACTCCTGCCAATTTTTCCCAAATTATCCATAAATACCCTGAATTTTGAGGAAAATTTGGGAAAATTGACCAATTTTACAAGGAATTTCGTACGGAAAGAGCAACCTTCGCAAATCGCAAGTTTATACGTTTGGCTGCGCTGCTTTAATATATTTTGAGAAGAAAGCGACAACGTTCGATTCAGCGTAAGAAATTGTACCCACAGATGTCAAATGTTTTACTAAACATCAGTATTCTAGCGATTTATGGCCTTTGAAAATCAAGCGAAATTGGTCAAATTGTATATTTGTTGACAAATCACTCGCACTACCTTTGTCCTCGTATTTGTAATCATCTAATGCCTCATGGCGCAATAACGATAAAAATATCACCGTTCGGTTCAGTGTAAGAAATTGTACTAAACAATAGTATTCTAGCGATTTATGGTCTTTGTCTTTGAAAGACAAGCGAAATTGTAATGTTAACAAATCGCCCATACGGTGATACGGATGTCAAATGTATTACTAAACAACAGTGATAGTCTAGCCAAGCGAAATTGTATTGTTGATAACTTTGGTATCCTTGGTTTTCGCTTTTTTGGCCGTATACCAGTGGAACCGCCTTACTTCTCTCTTCATTTTGATAGTATTTTGAGCCCAAAAGCCCCCAAATTAGTTTATTTTGAACGTTTTAAAGCGTAGTGAGCAGCCTAGCGCACAGACCAACTGGCGGCTGACAGTCTGGAAGAATGTAGCGTACTAAATATAACTTTATACTTGTAGGGCCTACCGCATTTTAGTACTGTGTTAAGTCTTTTGCGCTCGTATTCGACTTTTCCGCTTAGTAATGTGCGTATTTGTATGACTTGTATAGCCCCAGCGAGTCAACGCTCCACAGAGCATCTTGTTTACAGTTAAAATGTAGCTACTTGATCCATTATCTATTCTAACCTATAACTAGAAATCTATACTGGTTAAAAATAGTTAAATAGACATCTGTTAAGAAACGATCGTTTGAATCTCTCTGTCCTAATTTGTGGTAAAATAAAGACATGTTCCCGTTCTCTTAAGGTCCTTTGTTTACGCTCAGGAATCAATTCACACAGGGGATGTCTTGGATTAGACACAATTTTCTGAATAACTTTCTATCTCTCTCTTCAATAACTTGAGATATGTTAAGGTTACAGAACACCTTTGAGTGTTAATTTTGCCCAAATTTTTTTATTGGTTTCTATGAAAGTATTAGACTAGTTCTACTATCTGACCAAGGTTGGGCGAAAATAGAATACATTTCGCTTGCAATAAGAAAAACATTGAAAATGTAATATTCAAATTCAATTTTCTCCCGAAAAATTTTACGGCAATTACTGATTTTTAAACGAGTTGTGCTCCTGCGGTTTTTTTTGTTTTTTCTCCAATTTTCACAGGATATTGCTAAAGACGTCGGTTTCTTTGTTCTAATTTTGGATATTTTAATAATAAGGAGCAATTCACACAAACGATTCAACCGGTGCAATCTCGATGTATTTTAACCGTGAAATTCTACACCGGGCACTGAAACTTGCCTAAAAGGTGCATGAACATTAACAAACCAAAGTTGGTCGTCCTTCTTCGCCTCTGCCAAAAAAGAGCTTTGTAACCATGCCTTATAGTTTCTAGGCAACAAAATATATATTCGTAAACATTGTCAACAAGACTTCAGATACAGGATAAAGTGGGTATATAATTTTTGGCACAAAGGTCAGATGGGTCAATCGAGCAAAACATAATAAACACTGAAATGTTTCGGATGTCTAGCGTTTCTGTTTGCCCCGACCAGCTAAAAATTCTTATGAATGGGGGTTTAACCATCTAACAAATAATGTTGAGTGGTTTAAAAAAGTGGTATAAGCCACTGATGGAAACCAAGTGGTGTTCCTCAAGGATCAGTACTGGGACCTTTGTTATTTCTTTTGTATATAAATGATATCCAGAATTGTAGCAATATTATTTCAAATATATTATTTGCTGATGACACAACCATATTTTATAGTCACGCTTGCCTTAAAACATTAAACCAAACAATACAAGAGGAAATAAATAAAATAGCTGTTTGGTTAAATATTAATAAACTATCTATAAATACAGGAAAAAAACAAAGTTTATTGTATTTCGGTCCTCGAGAAGGAAAAAACAAGAACATAATATAACAATTTATTTAAATAATAAAATTATTGAGCAAGTTAGAAAGACAACATTTTTGGGTATTGTTGTTGATGAATGTTTGACATGGAATGATCATCTAGAGCAAATATATCAAAGAAAATTATAAAATCAACAGCAGTCATTGTCAGGATCCGACATTTCATAAACTTGAAAGCTCTTAAATTAATTTATTATGCATTAGTCTATCCATATCTTATTTACGGCAATCTAATATGGGGTAACACATACAAAAAGAAAACACAAAAATTAGTAAATATTCAGAAAAAGATTATTCGTCTAATGACGTTTAATTCTTACTTTGAACATACCGAACCAATATTTAAGGAGTTAAAAATACTAAGCATTTATAAATTGAATCAATACCTAACAAGTTTATTTATGTTTCGATATCATAATTTGAAGAATTTACCAGAAACATTCGTAAATTATTTCATACCCAATAATAAAATACATGACCATGGCACAAGGAATGCAACTAAGCTTCACAATACTTATAAAAGAACGAATTATGTAATCCATACTCTTTCTAACAAAGGAGTTGATGTTTGGAATAGCATAACATCTAAATACAAATCTATTTTCTCTTATAGTACTTTTAAAATTAAAATAAAAAATCATTATATATTCAACAATGGATGTATAATGGTTTAAAATATATTATCACTTTCTTTACTGTAAATATACATATATAGTATCCTCCACTTCGAATATATATAATTAAGTTTTTATGCATGTTAATGTTTTATTTTATACTTGTTATATACGCTTTTATCTTTGTTCAATCTAATATATTATTCGAACTGACTAAATAGAATGAAATAATGTAAGTATAGTCTATAGGGGTCTTAATTAAAAAGCCTAGTAGGTTTCTAGAAGGCTCCTAGCCTATCCAAAACAATAGAAAAATAAATGTAAATAACTTGATATTTTTTAAGGGCGTAAAAAATAAAAAAAAAAAAAAAAAAGAAAGACATTTATGAAGGCAGAATATATAATACTTAAGCTCTGCCCCCTAATGTCCACAATTTCTCGCCATGTCCATTTAGTGACAAGACTGGCCCCTAGACATATTGCAAGTAAAAGGGTTAGTACTTCTACAATGAACCCATTGACTGGCAATGTGCCATTAATTTAATACTTTAATTACCCATTCAGTCTATCTTTAGCCAGAGAGTCTTCCAGCTTGTCAATCTTGAGGAGGTCTTGCAACTTAATGGTCTACTTTTAAAATTATAATGGACTTAAACAAGCATACTGTACTTACATAGTTTTGGACTTCGTGGAGGAGTTATTCCTTTGCTGATACCATAAGACACTAAACTAGTCAATTTCCGACAACAGGCGCTCGATCAACGCTATCATCTGCGAACTGGCATCGTGCAACACAATCGAGATTCAAGATTCTTAACTTCTTGTTTCCTCAATTATCTAAAGAATATAAATTATATGTACTGTATTATATATTTATGAGTGGGAATATTATTCCAATATTACATGTATTCAAACACACCACGGAGCCAGAGTTTTTTTTTAGCCGGAGGTGAAAAACCCGGAGTTAGCACAGCACTAATATTTTGTCACTTGGTTTTGAATATACAGGCAAGATCATTAATAATACTCCTAACCTCGGCCAACAGTTTATAGTGTGGTTATATAATTTACCTCAATTCACAGTTTAAATAGAATATACAGTATAAAACTAAAGAGATTTAATAAGAGAACAAGAATATTCATACATCTGTGATTGTTTAACCTTTGCTTACAATTACAGCAGCTGGCATGCAATTTGGGCAGGCATTTTTAAATTTTGTTGTAACTTGTAAATGAATACAGATCTATTGCTGCAAACAAAGGCCGGATAATGTGCAAATCATACAATTTGAAGTTTTTGAACAGCAACTGTCAAGTATATATATATTTAAAACGCAACTATACTAAAAATGCGATTGGGCTGAGCAAACCTTAATTGCTTCATAGTTATTATTCTGTAATACTTTACTTCAAAACATGCATCTTAACGGCAGCAGAATTTAGATTTTAACCGCTGCGATTTGCTCGCAACTGTCGCAAGCAACGAATTATTTAGCCCGCGTGCAGGTCCAAGCGAACTGATAGTGGGCCTGCAAGCAAGGCCCGGTATTTTGTACTTTCCGCGTTCTCCCACGAACGCGGCATTCTGATTGGCTGTTTGCTGTTGGATTCTATATTTAGGTCAGTGATTCATCACAATTCGAAAATTGATCACTTTTTTCGATTATAAATGGAACAAGAACAGACTGTTTAGTGTTTACTTGATGGAAGAGATGTTTTTTCCGTTATGCCAATGGGGATTGCTTGTCGTGAGGTGTTGGAATAGCAACACTACGACTGGGGTAAACTATAGTAACCTTTACATGAGTTTCATTAATTTCAAACATACTTGATACGTTATATGTTCCTCAAGAAAATTATCTTTTGGTTGATGTTGAGATGCAGTTGCATGTAAGCCTATTCGAAACACTTTGCGATTTTACAAGGTTTCGCTGAGAGAGCGAAACAGAAGACGGTATTAAATTGCCGTTTGAAACGAAACGATCTGGACCGCTCTGAACGCTCTCTTCTTTTGTACGGTTCTTTACCAAACTAGAAAATACATGCATGCAGAAACCCTCGCCTTACTGACATAACATTATGTTTTCTGAATATTATGAAGAATTGAAAGTAGTTGTCATGGTAACACGATAATTTTAAGAATAGTTTTAAACCTGGTTTTAAAATTGAAAAATCCCCCAAAATATCACTTTTAATAACAAAATTATCAATTTCCCAAACATATGTATGCCAGGTATGTTATTATACGTAATATAAGCATCAATTTAATGTAAAATTCAACCACAAACGCTTCGCAAATCGAATTATCGGTAAACATTGAGCTTGAAATAAGCTGATTTCAAATTCTCGCATGAAAATAACTTTGCTTTCCTCTTTACTTAAATACTTTAATATACAAAAGAAAAGGTAATTAATAAAACTACACTGAAATTATATGCTGTTTTTTCACTTATATACGCAATGATAGATTTAGTTCGATATTCGCCGTATCGCCCACCACTATCAGTTAATTATAAATATATCAATTATAAGACAAAAAATACATCAATATTTCAAACAGACTTACCTTCGTTAACGTCGTGCTCTATTCTTTTAGACGTTTTTAGACGGTTTTTGGCTCTCAGAAAGGTTTTGAAATTTACAAAATCTTGCTAAAATACAACTTGCAAGAAATGTACTTTATCATATACTCAAAGGCCGTCGGGTTTTAAAACAATTATAAAATAAATATTAAAACAAACTTACCTTCATCCTCGTTCCCAGGGTCTTTAGGAAAGACCCTGGTATCGGCTGGTCACGTGCCTCGTCCAAAATTGATTGCCCGAGGGGGGTGTGGTGAAGTATCAAATTACAAACAGTTAAAAACATAAATTTTGCGAACTATTACCAGTAAGTTCAAAGTACTTGCTAATTTTTGTTTATTTTATTTGCTTTGAATTTACAATAACATTTTTACCAACAGTCAAGTCAAGAAACCAAGCAAATCGTTACTCGCAGTGCTTTCTCGTGTTATTATTATTCAATGCTCTCTTCACACTCGAGCGCGGTTTTATAACAAACGTTTATGATGGGCTTTTCAGTGGTCACCATTTCTACATATTTAATGTTTTTAAAACACGCATTAGATTTGTCCTTTTTTGTAAACGTTGCTATGCTTTGCACGTCTTGTTTATAAGATTTTTAAAGGAAACAGTATTGTATTGTCTAGGACTAGAGAGTAGAGCTCAATATCAGCAAATGTAAACATTTGATACTAGCCAAACAGAGAAATGTCTGTCAGTGATTTATCTTTAAAATTTTGGATTTAGTACATAATTCGTATTCATTAATTATAGTAAGGCTTTAGCCTTTCTCTTGGTCAGATACTGTTTTCCTAATATACACACAACTAGGCTATAATCTACATCACAAATTTACAGTGTCAGACGCGCACAGACTGCCATACGAATACACATAAATTTTCGAGTTTTCTATTTCTACTAAGGCTACTATAACAGTTTTCATTGTCTCAATCATCTGTTTATTTCTAGTTCAACAAGTTCATTAAAATTATATTTCTATATTTATTTGATAGTGGCATATATAGTGATACATGTAGGCTATAGTATTTACACACAAGCAATCCTGGATATGATAGAGACGATACAAGCTGTCCATTAAAAAATAACGGTATTCTATTTCACAAAGCAAAACTGAATTTAAATCTCACTTGTATTATTAAGAATATATATAAAGCAGAAAATTAAAGCTTGTGTCAAAACGAAAGCTGTTTATAAAATTTATAAATGTGGTATAAACACAGTAGTAAACAGTAAGACAAATATATTGTCATTTGACTTACCTTTGATGTATGACTTTACTGTAATACCGTAGATTTTCAACAGACAGCTAGATTTTGACATATACCATGATCGTTGAGATCTTGCAGGAAATTTTATAGTCTTTTGACGGGATTTAAGTTTTGTGATAAGGCCTTTATAATCAACAATCTCGATACAGTTGGCGTCTTGGCGATATGTCGGAAATCAAAAGATCTCGCTATTTCGTTCCAATTCCACATCTCATCAATAAATATATTCTTTTGGTCCGCGAGTATCCGGATATACTTTAATACTAACAGTTAAATAAATATAAACCACATTGGTCGGTCTAGAGATATGAATTTTCTTGTAGGCTTAATATTGCCACGCCGTCCAGGCGTGCTTTCTTTGCAAGTTGAAATCTGATCCAACTTGCTTGAATTGTAACTCGACACTAGATTATAGAGCAGAAAGTCACATCACGATAAATATTAATTTTTAATTGCAGTTCTCTTCACGATTTCTTGTTGCAAATTTAAATTTCATCACACAAAATTGCAAATATTGTTACAAACGCGACAAACACGCTCCTCTCCCACCCTGCCCATAGCATCATTTTAATTTATCACCCAGAATCTGGGTGACACCTGACCAGCCGAAACCAGGGTCTTTCCTTCGCCTCGCGCCGTTCTAAGAAAGACCCTGGGAACGAGGTTGACTTACCTTTGTTAACGTCGGCTCACTTCTTTTAGCCCATTCTTTCGTCTTTTCTTTCTTGAAATTTACAAAATCTTGCAAAATGCGAGCAAAAATAAGATATATTTGCAAGAAATTTATCAATCATCAAATCAAGAAATGTTTGCTGTTTCGCTGTCGTCATGCAGTCGTTATAATGCAAACTTTAAATTGGACCAATCAGTGTCCGCTATTCATGACAGTCCGCCATATTTTTGAGATCAGTGAGGATGACCACCCACGCACAGTGACCCACGCCCGCGATATTTGATGAACTTTAGACTTCGCTAATGCTTTCGTTTCCCCAGGTGTAAATAGCCGGGGGGATTAGTACCCTCGCACGGCGCTTCGCGCCGTCGGCTCGGGGATGAAATAACTGAAATAAATTTCGTACTTTCCACCGCCAACAAGAACTGCACACACGATCTGATATAAAGTGAGACAATTTATTCATAACAATGCCAATGGCACAGAATAGACAATGGCGACAGCGAAGCAAACATAAATGCTAATGTGGTCGCACGACTTCCCTCACGATTTGAAGTTTGAGACTGGTTTTCTGTTGAAATTCGTCCTAATTTGCCTGTTCCGATTTTAGTTTAAGGTGAGCACTTGCAAATTTGACAATTACTGACTGCGTTGCTTGCTTTTTTGGAGTTAAAACGCTGCCATTTACACATTGTTTATGTTCTGAATAAGCAGAGAAAACCCCGCAACATTTTAATGCGTGTTTGTTTGTTAATATTTGGGTGCTGTCATTGGTTCTTTTTTGACAATTGACGCGCGAATGGGGCGTGTTATGAAAAGGGGTGTTTTACAAAATACCGGACCTTGCTTGCAGGCCCACTATCAGTTCTTTTGGGCTTGCACGCGGGTTACGAATTATTTAGAGCACGTGAGTTTTTCTAATTCTATAAATATTCAACAAAAACATTACCTTCCAGTATCTGTTCGCATTCTTTGTCCACACTAGCAATTTGTTTAAGTAACGACGAATTAAGTTTGTAGATGCACTTTAAACTTTCAAATGGAAAAATTTAATAAAATTCAGCGAGCAACTGAACACACAGCCACTTGACTTCGAAGCAGATTTCGAAAGGACGCGCATCTAAATCCCAGAATCCTTTACGCGCTCTTTCGTGGGGACCGCGCGATATGTCGCGCACATGACGTCATGATATATTTTAATTCTTCATTAAATAAGCTAAAGAAGCCAATTTTAATGATTTATTTATTCAATTTTAATAACACATTTGTTTAATTTGAATTTTATTGCAAAAATCTTGCGTTGATTGCTTTTAAAAAAATTAAAATGTTTCCTTAATTTCCATATACCCTGGGATCGAAGTTGCCTCGTCCCCAGTTTTTCCAAAATCAATACAGCGCGGGTAAAACAGGGGGGTTAGTTTGTTTCACTATAGAAAAAAACACACACACACACAGATGACAATGAAGCAGTGCCGTTTTAAAATGTTAAAAATTGTCGCAGATGTTTCGTGATGAATAAATGTTAATATGGTGAGTCAAGTGGCCCCAAATACTGTTTGGAAATGTTCCCTAGATGTCCCGTGTTTGTGGCACTCACTCTTCAGGTTCCTATGAACCATTACCGCAGTCATAAACAATCCATAGACAATCCAATGTCTTTTGGATTGTCTATGCCACAGCGTACGCAGCACGGCAGCAACATGACTGTAAACTTCTCGGTCCGCTGTGGAGTCGACGATTGCCCGGCAACATGTATCACTCCTTTTACAAACACGTAAGAAGGAAAATGAAATGGATATAAAAAGTTGTTTATTGTAAATAATAAAAGTTAAAAGTTGTGTTGCATGCATATGCATGGTTATAATTAGGATTTATTAAGTGTATGTATTCGGTTCAATACAATAATATTTTCGTATATCACGAAATAATTTTCTTGAAACAAGGATGTGAATCTTTCAATGAAACAAGTTTTCTTATTTTAAGAAACATTCAAGATTTTGTTCCCAAGATTTGTTTTCTTATAACAAGAATTTTAGAAGTTAAGATCACTTTTATTGTATCAAGAAATTATTTACTCGTATTAAGAACAGTTTTTCTCACATCAAGAAAAAAATTTCAGGTTAAAGTAATTTCTTATTTTAAGAAATTAAATTCTAGTCGAGATTTTGTCCCCTAAAATGAGAAAGTATCTTTAGGTCTGATAAAACACGCACTGCGAATGTTTTAAATTGCTTCAAAAACGATCGATCTGGTAAGTTCACTGGCGAAGTAATTTTAAAAAAAAAAGTTGTGTAAGTTGAGAAAATCAAAGTTAAAGTTTATGTAAATCAAGCGAAATCTCTATCACATATAGAGATACGATATGCTTATGATAATTTCTCTCAGTGTTTTCCTCATGAATTATTAATGAGTTTTTGAAGCAATTTAAAACATTCGCAGTGCGTGTTTAACAGACCTAAAGACACTCAGCTTCGCCTCGTATCTTTATATCTGATAGAACACTGCTGCTCATGTTTTAGATAGTACATAATAATATGAAACGGGGCAAGTTTGCATGGGAAGATTTGACCAATTTCATTGGGAAATCTATTAGGCCTTCTATTTCTAGCTTTCGCCAATTCGCTCTTCCTTCGCCTCGTCTCGAAATTGCCTACGTTTCACTTTCAGTTAAGTTTTAACCATAAACAAAAGGCCAAAACTATATAAAGGTCTATAGGTTGGAAGTTATCTAGATTTAATTCAGTCACATCAACCCACGCTAGTACGTGTTATCAATGTACAGCTACTTATTATACCAACCTGCCAAATGCTCAGCATTGTATTGGGCTTTAAAACTAAAAGTGCTTTTAGGATTTCTTCCATAACTTCCAGAATTTGAAACGATGAATAAACTATTTGTAGAAGATGAAATATCGACTAATTCTGCACTTGCATTTGAGCCACAATATGTACCCAGTAACGGAGCTGTATCATTTGAACCATCATATATTTCTAGAAATGTATCATTACAACTTGGTATAGTCAGCTCTTCAAAGCTCAAAGAAATGCATGATTCAGCAATCGTAATTAGCCAGGAGCAATATTGCGAGCGTGGATCCACTTCACTAACTGCAGCCTCATGCGATGTAAATGATTCGCTAGGACCAGTCATTGTACGGCGACAATCTAAAATAGAATTAAAGAATCCTAACGAAACCATAGCTCCCAAAACTAAGCAAATCGATAAAAAAATACAAGTGGTTCATTGTTGTAATCAACAAATCAATTTTTTCTTACAGCTTCGTAAGTGATTACTTTTCCAGGGGCTGTATTATTCCGCTGAATTATACAATAACGTACCCTTATAATAACAGTAATATATCTTTTCATCACGCCTAAAAACATGTTGTCCTCCTTCAGAATCTCCATTGTTATTATCCTCTGTATCAAATGCAATATACTCCAGGTAGCTAAATGCCCACTTGACCATCTGACATTTAGGAGGATCAGTAGAGCTGAATGTTAATAAATAAAATGGCTGACTGACTGGCAGCTCAATTACATCATACCAGTGACCATCTGTTTGACAACAGTACTCAATTTTAGTATTCGCGTCATATAATCCATCTGGCAGGAATCCTCCAATACTATTTTTGTTCATAATATCATCTTCATCATCCCAAAATACCCAACCAGAATTCATAGATTGCGGACAGGCACCACGTTTATAAATACAATATGTGCCTGTCAAAACAAAGGAAACTGTAATCAGTGATTTAATCTGCAGAATGGAACTCTAATCACGATATTCAATTCCTCTCCTTGTTTGCATGGCACTAGAGGTAAACTTCCCGAATTATACTATCCTCAATTCTTAATCATCACATCACTCGGTATATTTGTCATATGATTCCATATACAAACAGACGATTTAGGTAATTTCCATAGATACCCACGAAACAATCGCCTAGAGGTTAACAATGCAACAGTTGCTGTACTTTGCAAGCTTATTTCTGTTTTTGAAAAGAAATTAACATAATAACTTCATTCGAGGTTCTGAGTATATTCTCTTTGGCATATGGCTATATTGCCCATGCAATTTCGATATGAAACATGCGAAATGTTTGCAGTTTATAAAGTATTCACTTGTTGAAAGAATGAACACGCAACATACTAAAATAAAATCTCAGTCATAACATTGGTTGAAGAGAAAAACCAGTGAGTAACATCTGAGGGGTTCCTGCATGGGTGGATTTGCGAATTTCATTTCAAAGACAGTACAATTACTGTAACTGAAATATCGACACTTTGTTGGCGTCTAACTCGATTCAATAATAGTTGAAGGGTCTTGTAGATGAAAATTATCGAGTGGACATTTTATGCACTATTTAAGGTTACAGGACACCCTTTTTGGCGTTTTGCGGAAAATAGCTACTGCGCTCTCAAAATCAGTCCGATTTTCATCAAATTTTCACCAAATGTTAGCCAGTGCATGCAAAATATGGTAAAGTTGTAAAATCGACAAACAATAAAATAATGTAAGAATTATTCAGGATAATCTTAAATCGCGGTACCTTTACGCTTTTGAGTTGTGTTCCTGCTGGTTTTAAGATATATTTATGAAAATATCATTTTTATACAGTAAAATAGTTGTTCTACAAAATTGTGTTCGGAAATTTTTGTTTATTTCGTCATTCCGCTGATATGGCGATTTCTTTGACAACTGCAATATATTTATGAATCGTTTGAGTGAATTGCTTCTTATTATTAAAATATCCAAAATTAGAACAAAGCCGAACACAATTTTGCAACTTATGTCTTTAGCTACGTCCTGTGAAAATTTGAGAAAAATTCGATAAAAAGCGCAGGAGAATAACTCGTTTGAAAATCAGTAATTGCCGTAAAATGTTAGATGTTTCAGGAGAAAATTGAATTTGAATATTACATTTTCAATGTTTTTCTTATTGCAGCAAAATGTATTTTATTAAATAACACTGCGAGTTTTCAACATTTTTCGTTCAAACGTAGGACTAGTCTAATGCTTTCATGGAAGCCAATAAAAAAAATTTAGGCAAAATTAACCCTCAAAGGTGTTCTGTAACATTAAAACACGAGTAGGAGTGCTTTATCAGATATAAAACTCGAGGCGACAGCCGAGAGTTTTATATCTGATAAATCATGGACTGCAAGTGATTAAAAAGCGACCCATCTTATGAGACTCGGTTTACTGGCGAAGTAATTGCTGCCGAGCGAAGCGAGGCAGCACACTATTCTTGACACGCGGTGGTTTCTCCAGAGTCCACTCGACGCAGTCTTTCGCGCGATCTATGTATTGTCGAGATCTCGATTTGTGTCTGTCTGTCTTTCAGTCTGTTAAGATGATTTCCGGGAGGAATAATTAAGCTTAAGGAAATTTTTTTAAACGAGGGGGGCGTTCAAACTTTATTTTGTATGTGCAAGCAGCACGCATGTTTCTTCTCACAGCCGGTCTCAAGATTTCAGTTTTAATACGAGACCATACGAGTTTTTATGTTGGATTACAACGATTGACATTTGATAATATCAAAGAATAAATCAGGTAAGAATGGCTTTGTTTCTTTCTGGTGATATACATGAAGTGATGAAGGCATTTAAGGTGGTCTTCCACCCAAATTTTCCAATATCCGCTATTTTTTAAAAAACCGTAAATATGTAGTCTTTATAGCGTTCTTTATAAAATCCGTGTAATTTTAAGAACGAAAATGTACCGTAAACCAGAGAAATCCAGCAAATTCTACACCTTCGTAGGGTAAAACCACGATTTTACCCGTAGCGATAAAGATATGCGATTGGTTTAGTCTATTGTTCCATTTTCAATTATATTGTTCTATCTAAGTTATTCTAATATGTGCAAAAACTTTAAAATCGCTTTTCTCACATGAGCATTTTGCGAAATATTAAAAACTCTCCTACTCTTCATACTGAATCAATTCGTTCGAAATTTTCAGAGTTTATTTGCTTGTTACATAGCCATGTCATGGACCTAAAAAACTTCATATATCAGCAATATACATACGCAACCACCGTAGCGAGCAGACGTGTTTTAGATCGCTCCTCAAATATGTAATTCAGGGCGGTTGTTCAGTCATTGCCAGTATTAAACTAAAGTTTAAATAATTTCGAAAGCACATTGTTGTTTGTATAAACTGGTGGTCTAACTAAAACGTTTGAAGAACGGAAATGTCGCTTGTTGGTGTAAAAACCAGGTCTAATAATGCTCAAGCAGATATTCAAGAGGTTGTGCAATCCGAAATATCAAAATATCTGATGTCCTCGGACTTCAAGGAGTTATTGAGAGATTCGTTTAAAGAAGCTTTATCAGGCATGATTGCACAAGTAGTGAAACCATTTGAAGAGAAAATAATAAAACTCGAGGAAGAAGTGCTTCAACTTGAGGAGAAATGCAACGACAACGAGCAATACTCACGCCGGTACAACGTTCGTATTTACGGGGTGAATAACTCAACATCGGCTGATAGTTACGGGTATGACACAAAGGAAGATTGCTTTAAAACTGTGATCGAGTTTTGTAGAAATGAACTCGGCATTGAAGTCAAGCACGAGGAAATCGATCGAGCTCATCGCGTGGGCAAACCCAACAGAGATGGCGCGAGGGCGTTAATAGTTAAATTTAAGAGCTATGAGTCCAAACGCAAATTAATGATAAACAAACGGAAATTAAAGGGGAGGAAGCTTTACGTGAACGAAGATTTAACTTGGATGAATCAGCAGCTGCTAAAACGAGTCCGTGATGCTATTGCAGGGAAGGCTTATGTGTTTACTGCTGATGGTTATATTTTGGTCAAGGTTAAACCCGACCGCCCACCAGTCAGAATTCGCAGAGACTCCGACTTATTGAGATATGACTTCGAATAATTTGACTAACTTGGCTATGAGGGTCCTGAAGGGGGGGGGGTCCCAATCCCATTTCCCACCTGAAATTTTGGCAAAATCCCAGTCCCAGTTGGATTTTTATTAGAAATCCCAGTCCAAGTTATTGAAATCCCAGTCAATAAAAAACCTTTATTTATCGGTAGAATAAACAGTTTTAAGACAAGCCACCGTATGTGCAAGTGGCAGACACTTTATGAAATAATGAGGGGGGGGGGCTCGTGCCGAAGGCACAGAAAATTTTTAAATTTGAATCCCGGAAATGGCATTTGCAGCATTCTGAGACATGCATAATCAGAAAACCCAGAATTCCGGGCGCCAGAATACGCCTGTTCGCAGGTAGTGCTGTGAATAATATAGTTAACAACAAAAGTCATGACCAAAGACACCAAAAACGGATCAAAATTGTATTTTAAAATACTTAAAACATAGAAAAATTGGGAATCGACTCGTATTACCTCAATCCCATTCCCATTTTTGAGAACTTCATTTCCCATTCCCAGTGGCCAAATCCCAGTCCCAGCAACCCAAATCCCATTTTCCCAGTCTAAAAATAGATCAATCCCAGTTCCCATTTTACCCCTTCAGGACCCTCTGGCTATGGCTGACTACCAACTTTTCTTTCATAATTTTTCTAATCATTAGTTGTCGTAATTTGTTTGTCTTTGAGTTCGCTTGGCTGTTGTGTAATTATTCCTGTATTGTTTGTGCATTATTTGTTTTATTTATCCGAATTCCATTAGAAATATTTTGGCTATTAAGAGATATTGTTGTGGCGGGCTGTGTGATAAGAGGTGAGTATTTTATTCATTCCTATGATATATTTGATGGGGGATGATTTGCAAGCGCATAGAGCAGCAGCAGGGCATAGATCAACAATTGGCCTTTCCGTGGCACATTTAAATGCTCGTAGTCTCTCTATTTCGGACAAATTTAGTGAAATCTCTGCACTGATTTTATCGAATGCATTTGATATTTTTGCTGTTTCGGAAACTTGGCTTAATGCTAATATTTCAAGTGAACAGCTTATGACTCCTGGCTATAATACTCCCTTGAGGAAAGATCGCGTGGGTAGCAGGGGTGGTGGGGTGGCAATGTATATCGCTGATTATTTACCATATGTAAGGAAACATGAATTTGATTGTCCAGGCATGGAGTTGTTATGGGTAGAAGTTATTTTAAATAAGTTCAAAATTTTATGTGGTGTTTGCTATAGGGCTCCCAATTCCAGTGCATCTCAGATTAATGATTTCTTTTCCTCACTTCAAGACTGCTTAGACAATATTAGGAGTAGTAATTATACGTCTGTTATTCTTCTGGGGGACTTCAACGCCCATTATAATTTTGTTAATACCACGATGCCCAATACTGATGTGGGACTCAAACTTTTTCACTTCTTAGAATGCAACAATTTAGCTCAACTTGTAAAGGAACCTACTAGAATAACTGAGTCAGTCGAGTCTATTCTAGACCTCATTATTTCCGATTCGCCGGGTCTGTTTGTTTCGACAGGCACCTTAAGTCCACCGTCAAATTGCGATCATAATATAGTATTTGGAAAACTGTCAATATCTAAGCCAAAAACAAGATGTTATGTTAGAACAGTGCGGAATTTTAGCGATATTGATGTGAATCAGTTAAATTATGCTCTTATACAAGCCGGGTGGGAAAATATTTTTCGCGATTTCACGTCTGATATAGATGTTATTTATGAAAATTGGTTTGAATTATTTTCATCGATAGTTGACCGGTATATTCCAAAAAAAAATGTAATGATCCGCCCAGGAGACAAACCCTGGATGAATGGAGCCATTCGTCGAGCTATACGTAAGCGCGATAGATTATTAAAGGCCTATACTAAGTTTAAATCTTCCTTTAAGTGGGAAAAGTACCGCACTAATAGAAATCTTGTTGTCAAATTGATTCGTAAAGCTAAATTAGACTACCAACAAAAAACTAATGAACTGCTGTCTAACCCTGAAACATCGACAAAAAAGTGGTGGAACGTAGCGAAATCGTTTTACGGTTCTAAGGCTAGCTCAGCAATACCACCATTATATGAAGATAATGAGTATGTATTCGATTCTAAAGATAAAGCTGACTTGTTTAATGATTTTTTTGTTAGTCAGACTTATTTACCAACTGAGACTGCAGTACTACCTGAACTTTCACCCAACTTAAATTCTACTTTATCAAGTATTATTGTAACTGAAGTTGAAGTTGCAAATTTAATTAGTCAATTGGATACTGCCAAAGCCTGCGGGATGGATGGAATTAGTAATAAAATTATTAAGCTTTGTAATCATGGCATTTACAAGTCTTTCACGAATTTTATAAATACATCACTTTCTCTTGGTCAGTTTCCACAATCTTGGAAATTAGCAAACGTTTTACCACTCTTTAAAAAAGATAATAAACAAATTAAATCCAATTACCGCCCCGTAGCACTTCTTTCTTGCTTAAGTAAAATTTGTGAGAAGGTGGTTTTTATAAAAGTGTATACCTTTCTTGAAAGCATTGGCTTTTTCTACCGATTTCAATCTGGTTTTCGTTCTGGTGACTCTACTGTTATGCAATTGGTTTACATAGTCAACAAAATATATGATTGTTTAGATAGAGGAAATGAGGTACGAGCTGTATTTCTAGATATATCAAAAGCATTTGATAAGGTTTGGCATGCTGGATTATTAGCAAAAATGAAAAATCTTGGTGTAGAAGGTACCTTATTAAATTGGTTTGAATCATATCTTAAAAGTCGGCAGCAACGAGTAGTTATTGAAGGCAGTAGCTCATCTTGGAAAGAAGTTAACGCAGGAGTGCCTCAAGGATCTGTTCTGGGCCCGCTTCTGTTTTTAATATATGTTAATGATATTCAACATGATATTGATAGTGACTGCTTTCTTTTTGCCGATGATACTATGCTATTGCAGGAAGTATTCTCACCACAATCTGCGGCTCACTCTTTGAATAAAGACTTAAATTCTATTTCACTGTGGTCTAGTAAATGGTTAGTCACAATGAACGCTTCCAAAACAAAGAGTATGACTTTCTCCCTGAAAAAAAACAAACCTGATCATCCTATTTTGAAGCTAAGTGAAAAGCCAATTGAAGAAGTAAGTTGCCACGAGCATTTGGGTGTCCTACTTTCCAGTAATATGTCTTGGAAAGTTCATATTGAAAAAATTCACCAAAATGCTTCAAAGACCCTTAACCTATTGAAAGGCTTTAAATTTAAATTGCCTAGATTAACCTTAGAAATTTTGTATAAATCTCTTGTTCGCTCTAAGATGGAATATGCTAATGTTGTTTGGGATGGGTGTACAATAGGTGAATCGGACCTGCTCGAAAGTGTTCAGTATGATGCAGCAAAATTAATTTCTGGAGCAATGAAAGGTACACACAGAGAAAGTGTGTTGATTGATTGCGGGTTGCATACGTTAAATAACCGGAGAAAGATACAAAAGTTGTTATTATTGTACAAAATGGTTAAAGGTTTAGCTCCAAGTTATTTGTCGGATCTTTGTCCTGTTTACGTAAGCCAAAGAACTACATATAGGCTTCGGACTAGGAATGATTTAAGTTTACCTTTCATTCGTACCGAGAAAGCAAAAAAATCCTTTTTGTATTCTACAATTTTTTCATGGAATAATCTTTCTGAATCCACGAGAGAATCTGCAACATTTGTTCTCTTTAAAACTGCTTTATTACGTGAACAATTTTATATACCTCCTGTCAATAGACTGGTTTATTTGGGTGACCGGTATTTTTCGGCTTTACACACAAGATTAAGACTAAACAATTGTGGTCTTAATCATTATCTTTTTTCAATGAACTGTGTTCTATCTCCATCTTGTATCTGTGGTGCACTTAGTGAAGATGTAACTCATTATTTATTATTTTGCCCTCGCTTTGCTGCTCTGCGTGCTTCAATGCTTACCTCTGTCATGCGCCTTGCTGGAAATGTATGGAACGTTTTGAATATTTCTCAACAAGTGGACATTCTATTACATGGTTCAAGAAATCTAAGTTTTGAAGTAAATGCTGTAATTTTCTCTGAAGTACAATGGTATATTGGTAGTTCTGCACGCTTCGCATAGGATGTTTATGCAATTGCCAAGCGATCCTTTTTTGTCTGTACTTGTGGTGGTAATTGTAATGTAATACTGTAATTTATGTTTGCATGAACCCCCTCGATGAGCTCTAAGCTCTTGGGGTAAATGCTTCTAAATATTGTTTAAATAAAAAAAAAAGGTAAAATATGAAGGCGTTATTATATTACTTGTATATTTTTTTAGGTTCATGACATAGATCGATGAATTAAGTGTCCATTAAAGCTGTTTCTAAGATCCTCGGTAAATTAGTTTGGCTCACATCATTTTTGGAGCAAACCCTATATTTTACCCTATAGCGAGGCTTATCTTAGTTACTATGGCAACGACGAATGTAAAAGTTACTGATCCTGCGTCAGCTGAGGATATTTCATCACATTTGACTCAAATATGATGATAAAACCTTTAAATTGAAAAAAATGTTTTTAGAGTGGAAGACCCCCCTTAATATATTTAGATCTGCTGTTTAGCATTCGATACAGAGGTATTGAAACATATGATGTCATTATGTCAATAATGTCTTATTTTATATACAATTAAGGAGTGAAAATGTACTTTTAGCTTATTTGTTTGTGTGGCGATGTGCCTAGGCGATGCGTTTATAGTGTTCATTCTAGATGTTTATAGCAATGGTGCTTCAGCACGTTTCAAAAACAAACGCGGACTGTTTTATATACTTATGGCACGTAATCATGCAGGCCCTATAGCAACCCAGTGTGGGGATTGTTGTCTGTACAGTGTATATATATATATATATATATATATATATATATATATATATATATATATATATATATATATATATATATATATATATATATATACAGGGTGTATCAAAAAAAGCGCAATCCTCGACTGAAATGTAAATCGCTAAAC